AGCTCCCTCACTGGGGATCAAACTCATGCTGCAGTGGTTGCAATAGCCTCATAGTGCTGTGCTTCAACCTGTTGCACCACCAGGGGGGCCCTCATACATAAAAATTTAAATTAATTTCTTGATTGTAAACATAAATTTAAAAACTTAACAATGACTTCATATGAAAAGTAATTTTTTTTAACTCAATTCTTGCAGTTACCTCTACCACATGGAACCAGGGAACCATACAGAAATCATACAATTTATTCTTCTAGGATTTTCAGGGAGTGCAAAATTGCAGCCACTTATATTTGGACTTTTCTTCTCCATGTACCTGATTACTGTGTTTGGAAACCTGCTCATCATCCTGGCGGTCAGCTCAGACTCCCAGCTCCACACGCCCATGTACTTCTTTCTCTCCAACCTGTCCTTTGTGGACATCTGCTTCACCTCCACCACTGTCCCAAAGATGCTGGTCAACATCCAGACATGGAGCAAAGCCATAACCTATAAAAGTTGCATCAGCCAGCTGTATTTTTTCTTGCTCTTTGGATTAATGGATGACTTACTCCTGACCGCGATGGCCTTTGACCGCTTTGTGGCCATCTGCCACCCCCTGCACTACACGGTCACCATGAACCCCCAGCTCTGTGGGTTGCTGGTTCTGGTGTCCTGGATCCTAAGTGTCCTGCACTCCTTGATACACAGCTTAATGATACTGAGATTGTCCTTCTGTACAGACTTGGAAATCCCCCACTTTTTTTGTGAACTTAACCAGGTCATCCAACGTGCGTGTTCTGATACTTTTCTTAATAACATGGTGCTTTATTTTGCAGCTGGGCTCTTGGGTGGTGCTCCCCTTACTGGGATACTTTACTCTTACTCTAAGATAGTTTCTTCCATACGTAGAATCTCATCAGCCCAAGGGAAGTATAAAGCATTTTCCACCTGTGCCTCTCACCTCTCAGTTGTCTCCTTATTTTATTGCACAGCCCTAGGAGTATATCTTAGCTCGGCTGCTCCCCACAACTCACAATCAAGTGCAATAGCCTCGGTGATGTACACCGTGGTCACCCCTATGCTGAACCCCTTCATTTACAGTCTGAGGAACAAAGACATAAAGAGGGCACTGAAAAGACTCTGTTGGAAGGAAACAATAAAAAGCCAGTTGTCCTTGGACTGAAGAAATGCCTGTGACCTCAGGACTCAAAATGTGAGAACCAGAACTTGTGATTATTTAATCAGACATTGGAAGTGGGGCTTGCTCCTTTTATTTATTTATGGAGCTTTCATTTCTTCTATTGCAATATATTTATTAATGGATTGAAAGTTTACCAGTTACACCCAAGAGAAGAAAGTACTATGCCATCTAGGGGACATGGGGAAGCACTTGGGCTAACCAACTCCAAGAAAGAGTACAAACAGCTTATGCAAGAATGCCCCTTTCTTTTAAAAAAAGATTTATTTATTTATGTATACAGAACTGGGGTACAGGCCATAGGTACAGGGGGTGAGAGTATTCACCAGAGATAGAGTGGGGAGCAGAACAGGCAGATGGACTGAAATACACTGCTGAGGGAGCAGCGGGTGAGAAAGGAGAGGTCTGCTGCGCCATGTGGTTCAACTCCCTGGCCCGATCGATCGATCGCACTCGTGCCGCAGTGGCTGCGGGCAGTTTCGTAGTGCTGTGCTTTAACCCGTTGCACCACCAGGGAGGGCCCAAGAATGCCCCTTTCACATGCAGCCAGTCAACCCCAACTCACACTCCCAACCCTCCTCTAATGGATTCTTAAGCTGTCAATGCTTAACCTAATTGATTGCTGCGGAATCAAGCCACTCTATCCCCTTTACCTGGGAGTCCAATGCAATTATACAAACTTGCCAATCTTCCAACTGTTTTAAAGGCTCTTGTCAACAGCCCCTTTGCTCCTACTGCCTGCTGACCAATACTCCTGCTTCTCAAGGTGGACCACCTGTGGTTACTAGCTTTCTTTACACTTCTTTCCAGTTATTTCTTCTCTCTCAGCATTTGTTGTTGTTTACAACATAGAACACAAGATGTTATATTAAAAAAGAGCCCTATTTTTGCATTTCTATAGCTGGGTGACTCACAACTGGATGCCATTGTTGTACTCTAAGGGAATGAAGATCTGCTGTTGAGAGCACAGCTCACATCATGGTGTTATTATGACTGAGGGTGAAGAGAGCCTGGTCCGAGGTGGTCATAGCCTGCTTTGTGTGTGTGAGTGTGTGTACCATACAGGCATGATCAGTTCTCATGGCAGATGTACCTGATTCTTATACCCTAAAATATGAACCTTAGGGCCCTTCCTGGTGGCGCAGCGTGTTAAAGCACAGCACTAAGAAGCTAAAGCCACTTCAGCATGAGTTCGATCCCCACCTGCCCCGGAGGTGGGCTTAGCCCTCTCATCCTATTGACTTTGTATTGACCCTTGATTTTCTGAAACAAGTTTCTTTCTCTGGGACATGCCGCATTTCCCCCCTCCATCCAGTACATTATTCAGCACACCTCCTTCTCTTATTAAACTCTGTGCACATATTTGGCAATCTACCTTAACACTCAGTACAAAATAATATGCCATCCAATCTTTTCTTTAGATGGGGTTTATTTCTTTTCTAAAAACTTAATATATTTTTTGCATTGTTGTTCATTCTTCCTTCAGGTGTAATCCCCATACAATTACCACCATCAAGACATCTGTGAACTGTCACCACAATCTTTTGTGCTCTTTCTTCCCCTGTTTTGATCCCTCTTCCACCCCCTCCACAGCTTGTTATGACCAATTTATATAGTTTGCCTTTTAGTTTTGTCTCCTACTCCATCCTTTGTCTGGTTTCCTTATGTTCCTCCTATAAGTTAAACTATCTGAAAATTTTTTCTTTCCTTTTTACTTATTTTACCGAGCATAATCCCTTGCAGCTCCAACCATGTTGCTGCAGATTGCATATCTTTTTGACTGCTGAATAGTATTCCATTGTGTATATATACCACATCTTCTTGATCCAGTCACCTTTTTTGGGCCTTTAGTCTGTTTCCATATCTTACCTATTGTAAATTGTGCTGCAATAAACATAAAAGTTCAAGTTTCCTTTCGAATTAATATTTTTTTTGTCCTTTGGGTAGATACCTAGGAGTGGAATTGCTGGGTCATATAATAGCTCCATTTTTAGTAGTTTGAGGGACCTCCACACAGCTTTGCATACTGTTTGGACCATTTTGAATTCCCACCAGTGGTTTTCTCCATATCCTTGCCAGCATTTGTTGCCAATTTTTAAAAGATGAGCCATTCTCATTGGTGTGAGGTGATTAGATGTGATACATTTTTTATAGCACTTGTCAACATCAGCTACTTTCTATGCTTTTTGTATTTGTTTCTTTTCTTTTTTTTTAAAGATTCATTTTTTATGGGGTACAGGTCAGAGGTGTGGGGGGCAGAGGTGAGAGGATTCACCAGATAGAGCATGGAGCAGAACAGGTGGATCTAGAGAAATACAATGCTGAGGGCAGTGGGCCTGTCAGGAGAAGCCTGTCTCGCCATATGGGCCATGCTGCAGTGGCTGTGAATAGTTTCATAGTGCTGTGCTTTAACCCAGTGCACCTCCTAGGAGGCCCCTATTTGCTTATTTTCTTCCCATCAGTGAGCTGTAGTGACTCTGGTTTCTTACCACCATGTATTCCCTATTGAATTCACTCATCATTCAATGCACATTCTCCACTGTGACAGGATTTCTTATTACAAGTGTAGAGTACACACTTGGGAAAGAGGCTGGCATGGGCAGAGAGTCCTGTTCTGAGATGCACAGTGATTGCATGTAGAGCAATTCCATGTAAAAGCCAAAAACAATTGATGTCTTAGGATTTTCACTATGTTCAGAGGGCTGGTTTTTATCACTTGAAACCAGGGAGTAGTAGAAAACTTCAGAGTTTTACATGTAGGATCACCAAAAGGGCCAGACTGCAGCCCCATGTGTGGACTTTACCTCTACACACCCTGATCACTGTGCCCGAAACCCTACTCTTTGTCTTGGCTGCCACCTCTGATTCACTTCTTCACACACCAGGTGTTCTTTCTTTTCAGTCTGCTGACATCTGCTTCACCTCAGAAACCACCCCAAAGATACTCTGAATGTCCAGAAACAAAGCTGTCCTAACCCAGGAAGGCGGCATCAACAAAGGTACTTGGCCAGGCTCTTTGGAAGCCTGTGGATATTCTCTGGGGTGTGAGCAGCCTCTCCTAACTTTGAGGCCACCTTCCATGCCAGCATTACAGTCACCGAAAACTCCCGCTCTGTGGGCTGCTGTCGCTGGTGTCCTGAATGCTCGGTGCCCAGACTCCTTGTCACACACCTGAGGGGTATTGCATGTGTCCTTCTGTGCAGTCTTGGAAACACCCACTTTTAATGTTAACTCAACTAGGAGACCCATCTCGCCTGCTTAGACACCTTTACTTGTGGCATATGACATATTGTGGAGCTGAGCTTCTGGGTTCTGGCCCATTCGCTGGCATCATTTACTCACATAGTATTGGTATATGTCAATCCCATCAGCTCAGGGCATGTGTAAAGCATGTCTCCCTGTGCAGCTCACTTTTCAGTTGTATCCTTGTAATTACTACTATTGTTATGAGGGCATCCTTATTACTGTATAGACCTAGGAGTAAAACTTAGTTCTTTCTTACCCACATTTCAGTCAAGTCTCACAATTTCAGTGACCACACCCATGCTAATGCCTTTCAGCTATTGTGTGAGGGGCCTCTGGATGGCAGCTCCGGAAGGACCAAAAATCTAGGACAAAAGAGGTGCCCATAAATCTCAGTCTGATTAGGTGGTGGACAGCTTTGTGTCTTCTATTTTTTCCTGGAATTTAAATTTATTTGAATTCACCTTCTCTCTGCACTTAGGTAACTTCATTACATTTTTGTTCTGTTCATAAGAAGACAGTTTTTCTCTTTATCCATTTTCATATATTCCCAAAGGTTTATTTTTACCCCAAATTTGGTCCAGAAATATTTTGAATTTCCATATCTTTCATGGAACTACTTAGTTTTCTTAAAAATTAATTCTCAAAATGTGTCATGCCAAATATTTTTAACCTATTTTTTCTCGAAGGAATGAATAGTCATGAGTTGCATTGTTCATAAGAAAAGTATACTTTAAATTAAGTCCAGTTACATAATTTAATTGTGGAGGAAAATATGAAACTCCATTTTTCACTTTGGGCTCATTATCTTGCTTGTAACATTACCTAAATTACTCCTCCTGATAATGTCTGCTTTTACAGTTATCTTTAAAGTATTAATCTGGTGACAACGCTTTTATTGGCTAGGAGCAGTGGTACTTAGCTGTCTCTGGTGAGACCCTCGACGGCTGAACAAGAGCTATCCTGTGGTTCCACTGCCCCCTTGTGGTTTAATGTGATGGCAAGACACACTAGCTACAACCAGTGTGTAGCAATTTTATTTTTTAACAAAAAAATATTACCCACAGATCCATTAGGATAAAGGTCATACCCAAGGGTCCCTCTCTCATGGAGAGAGATAGGGAGACAAGGAGGGGGTAGGGTGAGAGAGAGAGGGGAGGAGAGAATGGGAGAGCAAAAAACACTATGAGTTATTGGGACCCCATGAAACACTCAAAGTTACCCATTCCCTTGTAGGGAAATTCCCAGTCATACAGGCCTGGCCAGCACCTTCTGGTAACCAAATGTTTGGAGAATAAAATAGAAGAAACATAGTCACATTTGAGAATGTTTTCAAAATCCCAAGTTTTTAACTTTATGTAGGAATTTTAAAGTTCCCATATACAATTATTTGTGGATATATCTTATTTTTAACCACTCTTGATTTTTGCATTATAACAATCAAAATTAAGTATATTTTTTAGAGATTGAAAACATTTATACACAGAATGCTTTTCATCTTAAAACCAAATCTGTCCCCATTAATAATAACTCACCATTTCTTATCCTTCAGATGATGACAGCTACCATTCTTTTTGTTTTTATAATTTTGATTAATCTAGATACCTTATATAAATAGACAAACAATATTTTGGGAGGACATTATTTCACTCGCTCTCATATATTCAAGGTCCATCCATGGTACAGCATGTATCAGAATCTTCTTTCTTTTTAAGGATGAATAATATTCCATGGTTTGTATG